AAGGGGGGGGGGGGGAATCAGAGAAGAGGAGGGTTATATGTGACCGGCCTATGATCAGTGCAAGGTCCTAATTAGAAATCTTGAGTTCCCCCAAATCTCAAAGCTTCAGAAATGCGAACGCACGCAATACAAAATTAAACAAAAGCGATTCAGCGCCACCCGACTCTCCCCGGCGAGGTTATCGCCATCCACGCACGTAGAACAATCAATGCACGTTGTTTGTATTCCGCTGAGTGCGACCCTTCTGTCCTCGGCTTTTAATCCTTCGCGCATCAATTTTCAGCATTGTTTGCAAAAACCAATTAAAACTATGGAAAACAAAGTCGGAGCCCCGGGGGGGGAGGCCGAGCGGATTCATCACTCGATTATTAATTACTGGTACAATTTGATGCAATATATTCCGACAGATCTCTCACCCCGAACCTTGGGACGCCTCTGATTCTCCAATGTGTACAACCTTAGGGGATGTTTAATATATCAGAGGGGGGAGCCCACGGTGGGGGCCTTCTGTTCACATCTAATACCGCAAATATCTAAAGAATGACTCCAGACGAAGTAAAACAGCTGAAACATATACAAAGTAACAATGTTACCGGCCAAAAAGATTCCAAAATACCCCCTTGTGTCACAGGATTGCAAATCATAAGGAGGGTGACATTTTACAGTGCGTAATTCCATTTATTACCATGTTTTATGGCCACGTCTCCATCCAGTTTCACAGCCCCGCCCCCTGTAACAGTGCTCCACCCCCTCCTGTTTCAGAGCTCCACGTCCCCGCTTACCAGTAGCGCCTCATTATTATGCTGCACGCCCCTCCTGTTTCACAGCTCCGCCTCTCCATTTCATGACCCTGCTCCCCAATTTACAGTCCCACCCCGTTACGGTGCCCCATCTCCATCCTGTTTTACAGCCAAGTCTGCCCATTTCAAGCACCCCCACGCACCCCTGCTCCCTCAAGTTCTTGGATTACCTAAGGACCTCTGCCACACTGGTAACACCCAACCTGATCTCTTTATCTCTCTTAGCCCAGATGCTGATAGCACCTCCCCCTCCAGTTTGGTCAGCTGATAGCTCGCTATAGATGTCAGATTGTAATTCTTTTGCAGAAATAAAACCAAAAAATAAATACAATATTGACGTAAACATGTTTTGCACCCCTGCTTTCTAAATTAAAAATGAAAAACTGTCCGCAGGGAACAGACCCCAAAGACGCCATCTCTGAGAAGTTTTTTACGCAATTACTTTCCTGAATTTAGTAGACTGGACTACAATCTCAATACAAGATTGTAGTTCTTCCCGGGAGCGAGCTTGGAGAGTTGGCTACTTTACAACACACACAGGGACTATGGGGAACAGACGTAGCCCACCTCCAGAAGGAAGGACAGTGTCAGCACCAATTCAAAGATGATTGGAGGATCTACAGCCGAGTGATACACAAATAAGACACATTGTTGTTAATAGTAAAATGTATTTTTAAGATTTAACTCCTGAGTTTAGTGTTGCTTGTCCTTCCTTCTGGAGGGGGGCTACTTGTGTTCTCCATGGTCCCTGTGTGTGTTGTAATGTAGTCACAGCTCTAAGCTCGCTCCCGGGATGGACTACAATCTCATGTTTAGTGTACTAATTTGTTTTGAGATTGTAGTCTATCCCGGGAGTGAGCTTGGAGCGGTGACTTTACAACACACACAGGGACCATGGGGAACAGACGTAGCGCCCCTCCAGAAGGAAGGACAGTGTCAGCACCAATTCAGAGATGATTGGAGGATCTACAGGCGGGTGATTCACAAATCATTTTTGTTCTTAGTAAACAGACTTGAATATATTTTTAAGATTGAACTCCTGAGTTTAGTTTCCCTTTAAGAAGGAAGCAGAACCAGCACATGTAATGTAATGTGTATATAATGGTTACAAAGTAAAGAAGAAAGATTTTTGGCACTAGCGCACAGATTACTGATGGAAAACCAATCACGTTCATCTCTAAAAAAAGAAAGAGGCAATAGATTCTCTATTAATAACGTCTAAATCTTCTGATCTACAAGCGTGTAAGAAAGAAGAAGAATTATAAGTGACATGATCCAAAAGAAAAGCCGGTTGTCCTATGAGTAGATGGGATGACACAACAAGAGGGAAAAACTCGTTAGCCGACACACAGGACGATCGTCACGACACAACAACTGCGCACACAGATCACAACTAGGAGACGCAAAGACGGTCAGCGTGGACTTACAACACTGCGGCGTGGCGATGGCGAGAGGCGGCTTCGGTGCATCGTCGGTGAAGGAATACTGCGGAGAGATGGAGAAGTTACAATGTGAAAAGAGCAGAATGTAAAAACAAAGAACACAATGGGAGCAATCGATCTGAAGGGGTCACAGGCAACCGTCACACATATATGGGATGGGAAAACCAGATATTTAATAGAACTGGCTATGAGAAGGAAGCAGAGTATGCGGACTGACTGAGGCTGACCAGACACGATGCAATCTGATTGCACAATCTTCTTCAGATCTACCATCAACTATGGAGTGCAAGGACAAACCTGATTCCCTACTAACTGAATACATTGTTTCGGTTTGTCCTCATATTGCATTAGGTAAAAGCTAGAGGAGACTGCACAAAGATTGCATTCAGATTGTATAGGGTAGGGGTGGGAAATCTCGGCACTCCAGTTGTTGTGGAACTACAAGTCCCATGAGGCACTGCAAAACACTCACAGACATGACTCCCAGAGGGATGATGGTATTTTTAGTTTCACCACAGCTGGAGTGCCGAGGTTGCCCACCCATGGTATATTGCAGACGTAAGCAAACTTCGGCACTTCAGCTGCGGTGACCTTACAAAGTCCATCGTGCATCTGCCATTGGAAGTCGTGTCTGTGGTTGTCACATTCTTGTAATGCCTAATGGGACTTGTAGTTCCACCACAGTTGGAGGGCTGAAGTTTGGATACTCCTGGTATAGTGTATAACCAGCTTCACAAAGATACCGTATTTTTCCGTGTATAAGACGCTACTTTTTCATTAAAATGCTTACCTAAAAATAGAGGGGCGTCTTATACACGGGGGGCCGAAAGGAGAACCGCGGTTGCGAAACTGCCGAATGTGCCGATACCACTGCAAACTACCGTAGCCTCACGAGTGAAACGGATTGCAGAGACAAGCATAAGTTTTCCTCCAATCATAAATCTTTTGTACCCGAGGTCAGCTTTCTCCCCAGCAACAGCTGACGTCAGTTACAAAAGATTTATGATTGGAGGAAAACTGTTATCTCGTCTCTGTAATCCGATTATAAATCTTTTGTACCCGGACGTCAGCCGGCGCTCGGGAGAGCGTGTAGCCAGTGCCCGGAGCTGTAATGTCGAAGCATGACGTGATTGAGGTAAGTGTAATGCATTATACCATTTAAAATATTGATTTCGGAATTTTGGGTAAGAAAAGTTGGGGGCGTCTTATACATAGGGGCGTCTTATAGACGGAAAAATACGGTACTTGTGCAGCATGATGTAGCTTGGGCTCTTGCCTGCAGAAATGGGAGGTTAGGTCTTCTTGTGGGGAGATTTTTAGATGCTTCGAGAAAAAGAATCACAACTGGTTATGAGAATGTTATTACTCTCTGCGAGATCGGAAAACACTGGGTCGCCTTCAACATAAATCAGGAGGAAATGCAACATTCCAAGTTGTTGGAGTGAGTAAAACACACAGGTTCAGCACCATGGAGAGCGCCGGTATCACATGTAATGTCGCTAAAAGGCTGATCCCGTATTGTCCACATGCTGCCATTCACTGGATCATAAAAATGGCGAAAACCCCAATTCTACATAATCTTTCCTTCCTACCATCCAAAACCTGAAATAAATAAAAGTATCGGTCAAATAACCACGTTCCACCTTGAAACAATTCAACCCTTTGCAGAACAGGTCACTTGGCTAATTTTGTTAGAAGGTATCAACCTAATACTAGAAGAGAAATGGAGAATTTACTAGTGGGGACAGGTGATACGATAATTATGGCCCTATACCACATGAGTGTCACTGACCCCCTAGTGAATGCTCTATATGGCAAAACAATATGTGGACAGCCTTCCAAATGATTGAGTTCAGGTGTTTCCAGTGAAGGGTCCTCTTAATGCTACAGCAAAGACGTTGTAGGCAATTGTGGTCTTCTAACCTTGTGCTAACAGTTTGACGAATACCCTATTTTTTCCAGCATGACTGTGCCCAAAGCCACCTCCATAAAAGACATGGTGTGACCAGTTTTGGTGTGAAGGTACACAAGTGTCCTGCACAGAGCCCTGACATCAACCCTACTGAACACCATTGGAGTGAATTGGAACACCAATTGTGAGCCAGGTCTTCTCATCCAACATCAGTACCTGACCTCAAACCTACTGAATACCTTTGGGATGAAGGTGATGCCAATTGAGAGCCAGGTCTTTCCATCCAACATCAGTACCAGATCTCAACCCTACTGAATACCTTTGGGATGAAGTGGAAAGCTAATTTTGAGCCAAACCTTCTAATCTAACATCAGCACCTCACCTCAACCCTGCTGAAGACATTTGGGATAAAGTTGAATGCCAATTGTGAGCCAGGTTTTCTCATCTAAAAACCAGTACCTGACCTCCACCCTACTGAACACCTTTGGAATCACGTGGAATGCCAATTGTAAACTAGGTCTTCTCCACCAATGGTACCCCCTAACCTTTTAAGTGCTCTATAGGCTAAATGGTTACAGAATCCTACATACACTCCAAAATCTTGAGGAAAGCCTAACCAGAAGAGGGGTGTAGGGGTGTCATAGGCATCTCTATATTAATGGCCATGGTTTTGGAACGGGATGCCCAACAAGCTCAGCTAGGTGTGATGGTCCACAAACGTTTGGACCTATAGCATACTCGAGTTCTACCACCTGTCTTTTCTGTATTAGGGACTACTAAGACATTTACATTTTGCAGTTTTTCTTATGTTACGCAAATTTTCATTGTTTATACAAATCTATTTATTGGCACTTTCTGTAGTTTTCTTACACTATTTAGACTTCTGCACTTTATATGATTGCTTTCAAGACCAGAGTCTCCAAGTGCCGGTAATCCTCATAACCCCCACTACAGTAGGATTCACTTAGTTATATTTTATTCTCTTGTAATATGGTTAGATGTCATGGAATTGGGGAGGTTTCACTGATGTTGGGTATTGTTGGTGTTTATATAGGTCAGGGTTTGCTGTATCATAATCTCCAGCCAAGTTCTATATACTAAATACAACATTACATCCTTTTGATTATTGGTAATGAGGCCACCAATTGTGGTAATCAAAAGGATGTCATGTATTTTTAGATCCTTTCATTCCAATATTCATAGATGAACTGGAAAGTGTCTGCGTGCTCAGCGCTGGCTGCTGGTGACTGAAGATCCTTCTTTGGAATATCACCCACAAACCTTTCTATGACATTTAAAGGGTACATATAGCAGGAACGCTCTCTTTTTTCCCCCAACTTTTGGATGTAGTAGAAGGTTAGAACCCATGGCATTGTGTAGATTCACCATCTGTGTCCTGGTGGCCATTGCTAGATAAAAAGTGATGAGAAGCCCAAATTTTACAATCATCACCAGAACGACATATGTCTTTATTCAACCTCAAATACTATGGAACTATGTAACGAGAGGGGAGGATTACATTTCAAATAGGAACACCTGCTCTGGTGACATCATCTGGAAGGGGAATTCCTCTCACTTCCTGTTGCATCTCCAGGACAGGAAGTAAAAGAAACTCTTTACAGTGGGACACAGACAGCAGATATAAAGAGCCAGTGGTTTTAATGTATCCCTATTCTATTTGAAGAATGTTTTGGCTAGACACCTTTAAACACCCTGACTTTTTGAACCCTGGACTAGTCAAGGCGTCCAGGACATTCCGGGAGAAGGTGACCCGGTGACTCCAGGAATATCCCAGTGGCTTGACATGTCTGGGAACACTTTGCAGCACAGAAGACAGAAATGATGATCCGGAGACAAAGTATTTCAGTGAGTGAAGGAATCCTGTATACAGAGTGGGAGGATAATTGTACGGTGTATGCAGGATATAATTTAAGTGTATAAACTTCACACTCCTATTCTAGATCAGGAAGCTGCTTCTTCACGTTGCCAACCAAGATACTTTATATCCGACCTCCGGCCTTCCCTTCAGTCGTGCACAGTTGTACCGGCTCCTCTCCTGGACTGAAATGGCTTCCTCTGATGTCGCTGCACACGGGGAGCTTCTCACAATGTGCATTAGAAGTAGGGCTGCAACAACTAATCGACATAATCGATTATAATCGATTATTGAAAAAGTTGTCAACTTTTTCAATAATCGATTAATCGGCTTCTGATCAGTTGGCCCTGTTCACGGGTCCACAAACGCTGCGCGCCGCACCTCCTCCCCAACTCACGCTCACCGCTGCCAGACCCGCCCGCATCCGCGCTCTACACGCCGCACCTCCTTCCCGCCTCACACTCACCGCCCGCCCACATCCACGATTGGCACAGGGACGCGGTGAGATGTAGTAAGGAGGAGCAGGTGTGGGGGGGTGACAGCGGCAGATAGACAGGCCCGATCTCAGAAGCAAGTTGCTGGAAGACTGCTCAGGTAAGCCTGCACTTTCCCACACATGGTGCTCTATAATGTATTGCTGGGATTTGTATTCCTCTATAGCTGATGGTACATTGTGCTGTATATTATACATAGGAATACAAATCCCAGCAATACATTATACACTGTATGTATAATGTATTGCTGGGATTTGTTGTACTCCTCTATAGCTGGTGATATTCTGCATTGCGCTGTATAGAGGACTACAAGTCCCAGCAATAATACATTATACAGCGCAATGCAGAATACCACCAGCTATAGAGGAGTACAACAAATCCCAGCAATAGTACATTATAAAGTGGTACAATGCTAAATACCACCAGCTATAGAGGACTACAAAACCCAGCAATAGTACATTATACAGCGCAATGCAGAATACCGCCAGCTATAATGTACTATTGCTGGGATTTGTTGTAGTCCTCTATAGCTGGTGATATTCTGCATTGCGCTGTATAATGTACTATTGCTGGGATTTGTAGTCCTCTATAGCCGCTGCCATTCTGCATTCATTGCTGTATAATTTTACACTTTCCATTTCACTATATTGCACACCACACCATTTTTTTTACTTCCACCACTCCAAGCTTGATCCTGTGATGGACTACAACCTCAATACAAACTAGTAGTCCATCACTGGAGCAATTTTTTAAAAATGTAT